CGTGTTCAACTCCGCCGCCGCCGCTGTCAACTTCTCCTCTCCCTCCTCAACTACACTCAAAGCGAAGAAACTTCCTCCGTCGATGGATAGTGGACGAGGTAAAACATTGGAACTAATTTTTTATTTTATTTCAGGGTTGCGGATGGTGATGGTGGTGGCGAAGGCGGAAGGGAAGGAGGAGATGGTGGTGGAAGGTGTTGAAGACCGGAAGCGCGGCCATGGAGTGGACGGTGATGAGGGTCTTCGGTGTGGGATGGGAGAATCGAGGAAGGTATTTTTCTTTTGGAGAAGAAGCGGAAGAGATGGGAGAACGAATTTTGTTTTCCAATTTTTGTATTTTTTATTTCAATTATTATTTTTTAATTATTATGAATTTGTGATAATGAAGTGGTATTTTTAAAAAATTAAAATTTTTTTTTTTAATTGCCATGTCACTTATTTAACGGTCAACTCTCATGGTTGACTGCCACATCAGCTAAAACTAACGGAGACTAACGGAGAGTGACCAAACTTGAATCGTTGAGCTAATTTGACTGACTATGAATGGAATAAATTAATCTTAGTGGCAAATATGAACTTTTATAGTAATTCTAGTAACCAAACCGATTTCTGTGATTAGCGCGTTCTGGAAGCTCATAATGCTCTATGTTGATCTAGGAATGGAGGTGGTGCACCTCACCGAGTTATTAATTCGTAATCCTAGAATTGCCAGGCAGCCCATAGACAGTTACATGATGCGACAGTTTGATAGACAAAAGGTGATTGACATATGTAACAAATTTAGTGATACCGAGAGTCACAGGAAGATTAGGATGAACTGTAGCTTATTCAAGAAGTTATGTGACCTTTTAGTTGCAAAAGGCGGGCTGACAAAAACTAGGAACACTAATGTAGATGAAATGGTTCTTACCTTCCTATTGGTTATATCTCATGATAACAAAATCAGGAGTTTAGCAGTTGATTTGAGGCGCTCTATTGAGACTATTTATAGATCATTTCACCGAGTCATACGGGAAATTCTTAGGCTCAACAAACTTCTTATGAAGAAGCTCGAACCCATTCCAGCTAATTCCACCGACAATAGATGGAAGTACTTTAAGGTCTGACTACATTTGACTTTTATTACTAAAGATTTACACTTTTAATTTTTAATACGGGTAGCTATATTGTTTGTTAATTTGTCATTTGGATGATTGTTGAAGTTATGAGTTTATGTAATAGACTATTTGTGTATTGAGCTTTCTTTTCGAATTTGATGCTTCTGATTGTGTCTTGAGCAGATCTTGTGTAATGGGAAAGGATGATGTACTTGATGTTTTAATTTGAGGCTACTGTATGTTTTGAAATGTAGTTGGTTGCTTCTCTTACAGTTTGTGTATTTCTACTTTAGTTTTATGTATTTGTCTATTTGTTCAACTTGGATAATGTACTTGCTGTTTTGTAATGTTCTTTGTTTGTGATGTACAGTGATGGGGAAAAGAAAGGTTGTAGAAGGTGAAAAATCTGGGTACACCTTCTGGCCGGAGAAGTGCGATAAACCATTTGTAGAATGCATCTTTGAGTGTGTTGGGAAGAGGCTTATAGTGGATGGCATATGTAAGAACGGGGTGTATGGTCTTCTTGAGAAGATGATGGAGGCAAAGCTTCCGGGATGTGGAATACGAGCAAGGCCACATATAGAGGGTAGGTTCAAAAAATGGAAGAAGATATGGCATGCAATGACACTTGTGAGAAATCAAAGTGGTTGGGGGTGGGATGAGATTAATAAGTGTGTCATATGTCCGGATGATTAGTGTGATGCATTTGAGCTGGTAAGCCTACAAATTTGTTGTTTGGATTATGTCCATCTCATTGGTTATGAAGATTTATTTGTTAATTTCTGTCTTATTGCAGAAGCATCCAAACTGCAATGGTCTGAACAAGAAACCATTTTTCGGTTTATGATGTCCTTACACCAGTCTTCTGCAAAGGGCGTGCAATTGGGGATCATGGAGTTGACACCAATGATCCAATTTGTTTGATGGAGAATCAGCAGAAGAGTATGGCATTCAAATCCTAACTTGGACGAGGTGAATGCAGAGCTGATGGAAGAACTCAATGCAGAGTTAGCTGGTCAAAAAAAGCAGCCACATAGTGTGATTTCAAATGATGGTGCTCCACTTAAGAAGAAGAAGAAGAAGAAGAAGAAGAAAGGTATGACTGTTGAAGAATGCCTCACGGATGGGTTGGAGAAATGCGAGATCTTCGCCCAATGGTCAAGGAGTCGATGGATACAATTTCTAGGGCACTCGGGGAAAGTGATGAACTTATTACTAAGCGAGATAATCTGCTTCAGAGCTTGGAGCAGCTTGGTGGGCTTACCAGAGTTGAGATCCTTACTGCAATGAGGCTGCTTTCCAACAATGATCGAGACTTAAATGTCTTCTACCGGTTAGAAGACATAACAGACAAGTATATTTTTGTGAGAGGGCTGCTAGGTTGAGAACAGTGTTTGGATTAAGTAACCTGAGCTTTTATGGAAACTTTTTTGGGAGTATGTTGCCAATACGACTGAACTTGATTTCAAACAGATTGGTAGTGACAGTTCATTGTAATCCCAGCTCGTACATGGAGCTTTTTTTGGGGATTGCATTAAGCTTTTTGGGGGTTGCGTATTCTTCTTGTCTAGGTAGCCGGTAATGGAGCTTTTGTGAACAGGTGGTTGTTTAACTGTACCTATTGTCGGCTACAACTCAATTTGACATTCTTATGTCCCATTTTCTTAAACTTCTTTCCTTACGTACTTGTTGCTGCTACTTTTCATTGTTATAGATGGACATATAAATGGAAACAAACTACAGTTTTGTTGCTGTTTCTTTTCATGGAAATAGGCAAATAAATGAACAAAAATGCAGTCTTTCTACTGCTTATTTTCATCCTAACATCACACGCAGCTCCCGCAAGGAAGAGTGACGTGTGTAATGACGGAGAAGAAAGTACACAAGTAGAGGAAGAAGGCTCCAACGTGAGAGGAGGAATGGCAGAGAAGAACCAGCTCGCAGAGGAAGAAGGGTCCCTCGCGAGATGGAGAAGAAGGACAAGTCCGTTGTTGCCTGCCTCGTGTAGAGATAGGATATTTAAGGGTAAATTTGTGATTTTACATTTTCATTTTAAAATCTCACATTTGTTGCCAAACAAGTAATTTGATGAAAATCTCACTCAAAACTCTCGAATTAAAAACCTGAGTTTTTTAAATGAGTGATTTGGTCTCATATCCCTCATAAATCACTCATATTAAATTTCCTAATCCAAACGACCCCAAAGAGATCCAAGTACATAATGCCAAAATGGGAAGAACATTTCTTTGTGGGAGTGTCCGTCACGGCGTCACCAGCCAATCCATGCATGAACTGGTGAACCGACAAAATCCGTAAGAACCCTAGGGAGACAAAGTTAACTTTCACAACAAAGCACCCAACTTTTTAGGTTTATTCTTTTGCTTATAGGATTTCCTTTTTCCAACTTCAAACATTTCCTTGCTGTTTCCCAAACTTATTCTTTGATTTTCATCCCTTTTAGATTGTGCGCAACAGAAAAGCTCAAAATAGCAAGTAGAGATAGAGAATCATTGGAACCATTTATTCGTTCCCTTCCTCTTAACATGTCCCAAGCCTTGTTATTCTAGTGAAGATATGATTTATTGATGTTCAGTTCGTCTTTCACTCTCGTGTGTTCGCAGTCCGATGCTAGCATGTCAACATACTTTGCAAGTTTGGTACCGGTATAAAGTACATGTATGGTACCTGACATATGTGTAACTTTGCAGCAAGTGTAGATGATCTTAATAAGTGGCAAAGATGGGTTGGAGATGATCGCTCGATGGGTACTACATAGGTGAGGGGTGAAATATCGGAATACTTTTAAGAAATTGAGCTTCCCGTCATGAAAAAATGACAGTGTTGAATAACAAGAAGCCCCTACTTTCTTTTTCTTAATTAAATATCACTCCCTTCCAAACACATTTTTCCTACCTTAGTAGTGCTATCAAGAATTTTATTGTGTAACCATAGCTATTAGTTAGCATTAAATCAAAATAATACAACAGACTTGCTCGTAACTTCCTTTGCGTTCTTTTGTGGCTCGATGTAAGTAATAAACCAATCCAAAAAAGGTGAAAGAATAGTTTGCTACGTGTTCACTGCAAGGCTGCGTAATCATCATTATCCAGCAGACCAACTTTAACATTCGGGTTAACTTGTCAATTAGCATCAAATTAATAGCTATGGACATCGTACCGCCATCTCCCAAAGCCAATTAATAAAATGCAAATTGCAAAATCCACATTGAAGCCTAAGTCGATAAAAGAATTTGCTTACGTAGTCGTAGTAGTAACGTACATTGTTAACATAATCCTTGAAAATAACAACTTAACAATAATAATTACAGACGCACAAACTTTAAACTTGGCTTACATAACATTACAAATCTTACCTAAAATTAACCACTCCACCACTACTACCCCCAAAATATAATTTTATAAATCAACTTCCTTACAGAATCCCAATTCGTCAGGAAAATGAGCAAAGTTACAACAAAGCCCCTGAACCCCGTCCATCCAAACTACCATAATAATCACTGAACCCTTATCTTTCTTCTTCTTCAATACCACGTCGCAAGCTCGCACTCCCTATATTCTGCAATGCCTAAAAAACACCATTAATAATTAATTAATACAAAATCTATTGTTGTTCTATTATTATTTTACAATGATTATGTGGCGAATATCTACCACAGTCAAACAGTCAACTAACGCACTAAAATTCTAAACAATATTTGAAGGAGAAAGATTCGCACTATCCCCCACACGTACGTGATACCTTACCCTTTTGACCTCCCTTCTGACCTAGCATGCACTACCTGGATCCCACCCGTTGTTTTCGATTCCCACAACTCCCCCGGCGCATTTTAACATTTACCACGAGAGACAAAAATCTAGTAGAAAGTAAAACACTGAAAAAGAACTAGCAGCGAGAGAGAGGGTGAAAGAGTCTAGAATACGCACTGGGTGGTTGGGTGACGACGTAAGCCGCTCCGTCGAAATAGCAGGAACCTCCGGCGCGCTCGTTCTTCTGGTAATAGCTATTGAACGCGAAGCTAGCGTGTGCCTCCACGGTGTTCGGCTTAAAGCACGCTGCCCCCGGCTGGATCTGACGGCAGTCGACGCCGCCTTCCCCGTAGCTTCTCCTCCCAGGCCTCCCCACTCGCCATGCACCACGTGCTCCTCGTCGTGCTCTTCGACAGCCCACCGCCGCTGATGGGAGGAGCAGTAACATGTCCGCCGCCGGTGGCTGGAGCTCTTTTGTCCTTGTATGTCTTCATGCCTTCTACTGTGAACGGGATGTCGTAGACCTTCTCTTCGTTAGGGTAAAAGAGGCCATAGTTGCGCTCTAACGTCGGCCCATTCTTATCGTCCTCGTTGAACATAGCGAAAAGGTAGACCGTCAGATCTACCTTGGGCCTCAACGGGGTCCCCCCCCCACGTGTCAAGATTCGACGGATGAGATTGTCGTTGTACGTAGCCGCGTTCGCCACGCTAGCACCGATCTCGGTCCGGTCTCCCTTCGATGGCCATCCGGTCTCCAAGACCACCATCTCGATGTCGTTGAACTTCAACGCCGACATCGCGGCGAAAGCAGCATCGATTTGGTCGTCGAAGAGGCTGAAGTATCTCAGCCCGTTGCCGGAGTCGACGACGCCGGAATTCTCCTTGAACAGAGCATAGTCCAGCGAGATAACGTCGGAGTTCGCCTCGTAAGCGAAGAACGGGTAAGCGTTCACCATCAAATACGAGCCCGTCCCGCGGAGGAACTCCAACATAGGGCGGAAAACAGGCTCGACGAGCTCCTGACAGAATGACCTGGCCGACGAAGGGTAAGAATTCTGGAGCGCGCTGAGGGCGATTGGGGAAGAGACTTTAATGGCGGAATGGAGGTTGGATTTCACCAGTTCCTGGTGGATGTAGCGCATTGCCTGGATTAGGAATTTTGTGGTGTTGTAAGTGTCGACGAACACTTCGTTCCCGAAGGTGATGGCCTCGATCTCAGTTGTCGGGTGGTAAGCGCCGACGTTTTTCTGCACCCACGCGACTACGAAGGAAGGCTTCTTCGCGGCGGTGGATAGCATCTCGTTGGGTAAATCGACAGTGACCTTGATTCCGGATCCGGCCAGAGACCGGAGCACGGTCTGGTTGGCGTCGAACACTTTCACTCGGGCTAAACCTTGGGATTTCAGTAGCTGCACGACTTTCATTGCCGAAGGGAGGTTGTCGGCGATTCTTCCGTAGTAACAACAAAATGTACATTAGAGATCGTAGTAAGAAATTTTTTCCAAAAAGGGTAGAGAGGTAGCGAAAATCGCTATTAATTACCTGCGAAGAAAGGGGTGGAGAGGAGGAGCAAAGCGAAGGTGGAGAAGAAAGGAGACGGAGGCGCCATGGCTTCTCTGGTTTTTTTAGAGAAGAGGGTAGCAGTGAGTAGTAGTGGAGTAGAGAACGTGGGGAAGAGTGAAGGTTTATGTGGGAGTTATAAAAGCAGAAAATAAGGAGAAGGGAGTGGAGGACAAAACGACTGTGCGTTTTTGTGAGATCGAGAGGAAGAAAGGGAGGGGAGCCCCACGTGGCAGATAGTGACAAGAATGAATGAGTCGTGGTGGGACCATGATCTCTTCTTTCTAGCCACTAGCCGGGCCACGTGGCCACACTACCGGGAAAGAGAAGGGACCCATGAGGGGAACACTACCGTTTTGTATAAAAGGTGGTGAAAACATAATATAATGATGGAGTGACACTATCATTTCTAATGCAATGTTGACTCTTGTTTGTGAAACCTGTCATATTGGACGGAGAGATCGTTTGTTTGGCTTGGACAAAGGGGGTATTTTTGTTGGATGATTGGAGGCTTTTTTTATTGCCTTTAACAAAAGGGTTTATGAACATTGGGCTTCGGGACGACTGGTGAGATTGAACAGTTGTGTGCTCTCATTTTCAGTCTGAAATTACTATAATTATTAATTAATCATAACGTTAATGAGGTTTATTATTTGCCAACGTTCCATTTATCATGTGCTTACTGCTTGCTGTCTTTCAATTAGCGAACACTAACGGGCATTAAATTAGAGTATTAAGCAAGGACTGTGATACCGAACTGGAGATTATAACAAAAAAATAGTAATATTTTATAAAATCGTGACTTGGTCGTAGTTCAACTATTTCATATTTTTATAGTCGCCTACTGTTTGTGGTTCGGTATTCAGTTCAATCGGAAAATCGATTACGATTTCTAAAACATTGGCATTAAACCTTCCATTTCTCTCCCTGTCTATGGAAGTCGGCTGATAATTGTGGGTTTGAATTCGTGGGGATCATGTGGATTATGGTAAGGTCCAAGAGCCACTTCGGAAGGCCCGGATGACGAAATGTTAAAATCCTCAAACTTCTTCGCGACCCAACAATTATTGGGCTCGAAACTTACATAGACAGTAATTTCTATTGCACGTAGAGGCCTTTTATATGCTATATGCCTAACCATTAGTGGTAACAAATGTATTGGATTCATTTATTGATAGAATAATGGATAAAATAAATAAGTAGATTCATGGATTTGATCAAATAGATTTGTGGGTTGATCCATAGATCAAAATGATATCCAAGCATTGGGCCATTATATAATTTTGAAAAGTTTAGATACTAAATGTCGTAACGAAAATTTTTAGCTATCAAAATGTAATTTTTTTATGATATTTTGTAAAATAAATTTTTGGTACCAAAATATAAAAAGTTTAGATAATGGATTGAGTTAGTTAAATATTTTAATAAATAAATTAGATTGAATTCATGTATTTGAATACTAATTGTCACCCATTCCTTTCCGTAATCCTCATGTGATTAGGTATCACTCTTACTTAGTCCAAAAAAATACCCCTCCTGATAAGTGGTATGATCGAATTGTCCTTCCCTTCATGAAACTTGTCACGGGTCAGACCAGTTGGTCGGATTCATTCGCAATAATGTAAACAACAGTAGTAATTTGTATGCGACATATACAGTTTTTGGCAGTATAATACAACATGAATTATTCAAATACTTGAAACATTGAAATTGATTGGTATAATAAGAGAATCAAAATTATTTACTTCAACAATTCAAAAGGATCAACATCGCACTATTCTCTGACATTTTAAGTACTCATTGACTAAAATCCTTTTATGAAAATGGAAGACAACCCTATGCAAGGAACCGACTTCTAAAGACATTTTCAAATCACCCTTCTATCATAATGTCTTCATTTTCATTAGTGATAAATTTATCTGCATTATCAATTGTCTCTTCATTCTTCTCTTGCATTTTAGTACTCTGCGGAGAATATTTTTTTCAATGCATAAAATCAGAATCACACCAACTATGTTTTTATGTAAAATCAAATTGTCCTTTTACATTACTACTAGGTGGCGATGCCGCGCCTTGTCGCGGGGGAGATGGCCTATTGGCATGATTATGTTGCCTGTTATGGTGTTTTGTTAGTATTATTAGTCATCTAAACCTAATTTTTTTAGCAAGTTTGTTAGTAATATTGACTTGATAATATGATCTTGACTGAGAATAGATATATAGCGGTGAACATCTAATTTTGAAAATTTTGGCTAGTAAATGATATATACCTAAACCCAAGTGACCCATTGATTATGGGTAGGGTATGGGTGACGTATATATGGTTTTGGAAGTTTGTAGAATGGTTTGGGTAGGGTATAAATATTTACTTCCATAATCTAAATGTGTATGAGTTGGGTATGGATATCCATGGATTCAAGTGAAATCTAAACATTGGACCAATATGTAAATTTAAAAAATTGTAGGTACAAAAATCTTATAAAATGTAGATACCAAAATATAGTTGTTCAATGAATTTATATTAAAGTTAAATTTGAGGTATCAAAATGCAAAATATACATTATAGTGATTAAAATGTGATTTAATTAAATTTGGGGTATAAAAAGTAAGTTTTAGGGCAAATACAATATATTATCCATAACTATTAAGTAGCGGGGAATTATAGCCACAACTATCGAAATACAAATTATTAGCCATAACTATTGTTGTGGGTCAAGATTTGGCTAACAGCCAGTTACTGTTTTCAAATTTTTAACGTAGAAGGCCATGTCAGCATCGTAAAAAATATGATATGATGACTGCCACGTGGCAGCCAGCTCACCATCGTAAAAGCTTAGTCATCATTACTAACAGAAGTGTTAACGAAAACTTAACGATTGGCTAATAATTTGTATTTCGATAGTTGTGGCTATAATTCCCCGCTACTTAATAGTTATGGATAATATATTGTATATACCCTAAGTTTTATGCAAAAGTAAATTTACTTCGACTTTATATATATATATAATATAATATAATATATATATATATATATGGGGAGTTCAACGGTACCCAGGGTGAAATCCGAGGTACCGCATACCCTGAGTAAGAAAACGCTATTTAGAACTTGAATTGACTGATATTTCGGACATGATATTATACTCTAACCCTTAAAGATCAAAATCTAGTTCTTGGTTCTCTAAATCTAATACTCAAAAATCAATTTAATTAGAATAATAATCGACGGTTGTGATTCGTCCAAATAAAGGCCAAAAATGAGTGCACCATCTTAGGGTTTATAGTTTATAATTGAGATGATTAGGAACTAGGGTTCACTCATTAAGGGTTAGGGTATAGTATCATGCCCAAAAATCCTGTTAATTCGAGATCTAGATAGCGTTTCCATACTCAAGGTATGCGGTACCCCGGATTTTACCCGGGGTACCGTAGAAGGCACCATATATATATATATATATATATTGATTTCAATCTCCGAAATAGTTTGTTTTGTCTAACTGTCCTACTATTTAATATTCGTAGTCAACAATCATCAATGGTTTTGATCATTGTCATAAACAATATATATATTTCTAACTTAAGATGTTTAATCACTAAATATTAATAGTTTGTTATGTCTACCATAGGCTTATGTTGAAAATTTTCGGCTAATATAATGATTGTTCAATTATCAACATTGAGAATAGTAAAGATATTATTGGATTCCTCACTAAAGATGTTTAATCTCTAGATAAATTTCAAAATCCAAATTCAATGCAATTGGTACATCATCACGGTTCTATCCTTGGTATTTTTGTTAATGATTCCTTACATCTAGCACTTGATCTAGAGATTTACATGTTCTTGGTAAATATTTTAAATTTAATATTTTTTTTATTAATATAAGTAACCGACAAAATGTGCCAATAACACATCGCGAGCATATGGTTCCAATCAAGGCTGTCAAACTATTTTAATTTTTTGAGTCGATCAAGCAAATATTTTGAATTTTAATGATTGGATTGGAGTGCAACCTATTTAAGTCATTTTAACCATACTATATAAATATATGCATATATGTTAATAGTTTAAGATTTCAATAACCTGAATGTAATTTACCAGTATCATACAATAATAACAATTAATATATTACTTGACCCTAAAAATTGCATATACGTGCTTCATTTTTCATAATAGGGTTTGGAAGAGGACCAAAACACATCATTCTCAATAAAAGTCAGAAACCGGTGAATGCATTATTTCTTTCGTGTGCGTTATGATTGTCGCTGCTCTTTTTTCTACTCACCACTCGATCTCAGTTTCCTTGGTACTATATAAGATAATAGCCACTGATAGTTTATTCTTTATATTGGTATGAGAATTGGTAATTGTCTGAAAAAATACTTATTGTTTATTATATTTTTATTAGTATATATAATCACAGTAATTGTCTGAAAAAATACATGTTATATTTGTAACCATAAAAATTTTCAAATTATTTAATCACATCAAATATCGTACTCGTGCAATCTTCAACATGGTAATAACCCGATTTATAGATTACATTCCTGACTAAAAGTAAAAACAAAAGCATGCAAGAAAATTGACTCCTAAAAATTTAATTAAACCGCACTATTTGCTCCTCACTGTCAAGAAAATGTTGGCTCATTCCTAATATGGATGTTTGTAAATTCTTAATGTAAGACATTATGTCTCGATTTTTAACCATGGTATTCAAATTTATTATCTTATACCGTACACGTTAGCTTACTATTCTTAAAATTAGGAATAACTCTTAACCCATACTTATTGACCCCATAGTATATCATTGAATTTCTCACTTAAGATGTTTGATCTCTAGATAAATTTTTTAAATCCAAATTCAATG